AATGGGCCTGGTTTATTGCACACGAAGAGTTGACGGGGGATGTTGAGGGTCTGCGGGATTAGTCGAGGAGCAAAGCGAAATGTTATCAGAGGCCCTCAGCCACATTATGCTGGCAGCCTTCATAGATGAGGATAGGGTTAGGAAGTCAAGAGGTACCAATTGTGGCGACTTAATACACGGTAGAGTCGAAATGGAGTGTGGCTGTTATGGCTTGGCTAACGTAGCACATGGCCAAACTTCTTCCTGATTAGCAGCCCGCTTAACCTTCTCTTGGCTTTCCTCTGATAGGTCACGATCGGTGTGACTGTGCGTGTAGTATTGACAACTTGGTCATTGCGGGCGAAGAATTGAATGATCGGGAAAATGTACCAACCAAGTAAAGACGCTGGATCTTGTTCCCCCGTCGGCGATTCCCGAGTGGCAATCACGTGCCATGTCCGTGCACAAACCGTGACGCCATAGACCCATTGTTCACCTCCCATGATGCCATGGAACAACCCCCCTGGTGAACACAGAAGGAAGGAATCATTTGGTTTATACAGCTATCAGGTTATCTTCATCGAGATCGATGATGTCCTAACTGGGTAGTGTACCTCGATCAGATGAAAACACTTAAATATGCATGGTGTATATATATAGAAATATATATCATCTCCTTGTCGTCGACACCGACTGTAGTGTCATCTGGCATTGTCAAAGCACTGTCATGGTTCAATGATGAATCATCGAACTCCGTGTATCCATGGAAGGCAATGCTGGTATAGAACCTAATCCCCCAGCCAATGAAAGGTCTCATTGGCCCAGTCCGGGATTCTGCAATGCTCCAGGAGATACGAATCCATGGTTCCAGGATCTTGGGATAATCTAGGGGCGAGATATCGATTTTCAATACCGCCCTGCTCTTGGCTTTCTTTTATGACCTCAAGCCCTTCCGGTATCAATCTAGATTGTTAATGATAGTCAACTACCATATGCATGAATTGACATCGGATTGAACAGTGGCCGTCCAAGGCAGCCCAAAACTCGCCGTCCATGACGGTCAACCGCAATGCCGCCGTCCGCGCTGTGCCCGCAGTATTCTTGGCTGTGACTTCGATCACGGTCCTCCTCCGTTGCTATGTCCGTTTAAGGCTGGTAAAGGCCTTTGGATGGGATGATGGCCTCATGGTCCTAGCCATGGTATGTGGCGATCTTCCGACAGCGGGTGAGATAGACAAGGCTGACATCTTCACAGGCCGTCTATGCCATGTTCTGTGGCGTCATGATCGGAGGCAGTCTATACGGCACGGGAAAACATTTCGCTGACTTAACGGCAAGCCACCGAGTTACTGCAATGGAGGTGTGTTCAATCGTCTTTCTCGGCTTGCGGTTACTGTCAACTGACAACCTGTTCAGTACTGGTGGCTCTGCGAGATCGCATACTGCTTCTCTTCCATTTTTTGCAAATGTTCAATATGCATCTTTCTCACTCGTATCACCATCAAGCGACCGCACCTCGCATTTCTCTACATCATCATGACTTGCACCGTCCTCATGGGGCTTGTGCTCATGTTTTCCCTCTTGCTGCAATGCCGTCCTATTTCTTATTTCTGGACCAGGGTCGCCTTTGATCCCACTGTGGAGGGAACGTGTGTGAAGACGGAATTAGTTATTGCCCTGACCTGGGCATACAGCGCAGTTGCTGCCTGCTGTGATCTAGCGGTTGGGATTGTTCCATACTTCATAATTCGGAAGTTGAATATGCCGTGGCGGAGAAAAGTGGCTGCGATCGGTATCAGCAGCATCGCTTGCATGTGGGTAGCTTGATATATCTGTCTCGAATCACTTCCACTTTCACTAACCGAATTGTTGACAGTGCCTGCTGTGCCGTCATTGTTCGCATTCCTTATGTGCCCACATTTGCCGATCCGGACTTCCTTTGTAAGAAGCCCTTGCCCTTGCCTCTTTCTCCCCGTTTCGCATATTCTACCCCCCTCTTCTTTACGCAAACATTAGAGCCTAATCGGACATAGACGCGACTTATGAGGTGGCCGTTTGGTCTAATGTCGAGGTTGGCCTGGGAATCTTTGCGGGTAGTATGGCCACTCTACATCCGTTACTCAAGCATCTGCGGACATTTTTCACCAAACCTGGAATGACGCGGTTGAGCTCACGCAGCTCGTCGGGGCCGGGGCCCACAGCTCCCAAGGCCGACTTTGTTTCTGTCTCTTCCTACCCATCAGCGCCCGTGACCTTATTTCGCCCGGGGAATGTCGTGAACACGACCACCACCATCCAAGGGGACGGGGCAGGCGTGGCCAGCCCTGATTCCTGTTCACCCAGAGCCAGCCGTGACACTGGGAGGCGTACAAATGACATTCTGATCCAACAGACTTTTAATCTGGATACCGGGTGGCAATCTAGGAATAGCAGTGTGGTGTGATAGATCCTAGTTTGATCTGGGTTGACAATGTGTACTTTTATCAGCTAAGATGATATGACCAATTAGCTTAATTGGCCGAGTTCCAGGGCCGGTTGGGGGGAAAGTCATACGTCCTTCCTATTGGGGAGTTTCCGTGAAGATAGGCAGACAGAATAGCTCTCAGTGTGGAGTCGTCAGGAATTGTTGTAAAGCCCCCCTGAAGTAGTTCCACAACATCAGCAGACGGTTGATGGGGGACCACGTCATGGTAGGGCGGGGTTGGCTGTCGATCCCTCTTCCCCTCACCAGTTGTCCTTCGCACTTATCATTGATCCTCCAACCCAACCCATTCACAACAACAGGATTTTCCACGAATATTATCTAGCGATTGAACGATGGCCGCATATCCTCGCCCCGACTTCCACCGCCCTGCCCTCAATTGGCTTTCTCTCGACGGTTCCTGGGACTTCATCTTCGACGATGCTGACACAGGCCTGAGTCAACGGTGGCATCAACAGGGTCTCCCTGCCAAAGAGGCCGCACAATCTAAGCGCCAGATCAATGTACCTTACGCTTTTCAAACCCCGGCGTCCGGTATTGGGCTATACGAGGTTCATGAAGTGCTCTGGTATGAGCGAATGGTCCCGGACATACGCACCACAGATGAACAGACGAAAGGGAACCGGCTGATCCTTCGCTTCGGGGCGGTAGACTACGACTGCACTGTCTGGGTTGATGGACAGTTGGTCGGTGCTCACCGAGGAGGCCATGTGCCATTTGACATAGATGTGTCGGACGCATTTGGTGGCCGAGAGGGTTCGGACGCCCGGCGCCTCACGATTCGCGTCCGCGACTCTGCAACCGACCTCGGTCAACTGCGAGGGAAGCAATACTGGGGACCCGTTCCACAAGAGATCTTCTATACCCCTACCAGTGGTATATGGCTGTCCGTTTGGTTGGAGAGTGTGCCCCGGACGCGGCTGGGAAGTAGCAGTGACGGGACAGTCCTACGGTCGGATGACATTGAAGGCGGCTTCTTACGTGCACGACTCACAGTCCTAGGCCGCCCTGTGGCCGCCGGATGTAGCGTTGAAATTGAAGCTGGTCTTGCAGGAAATCCAGTCACTCGTGGCAGAAAAGAATTGCCGCGTGACAAGGATTGGGTGGACCTTGACATAGACATGCGTGTTCCACAAGTCGAGCCTTTGAAGCAACAGAGTCCGTTCAACATTGATGGTTGTTGGCGGGGTAGTGTAGCCCTCTGGGCGCCGGAGCATCCAATCCTCTATGACCTAACTCTGCGCCTCTACGACGCCTCGGGTAATCAAGTGGATGCAGTCGAGACGACGACGGGCATGCGAAGCGTTTCTTGGACTCATGGCAATGGCACCTTCCGACTGAATGGAAAGCCGTGCTTTCAAACTCTCGTGCTGGACCAAGGATATTGGCCGGAGACAGGCCTGACTCCACCGTCACAAGATGCACTCCGAGCAGACATTGAAATGGCGAAGAACATGGGTATCAATGGCTGCCGCAAGCACCAGAAGGTCGAAGACCCCGTGTTTCACTACTGGGCCGATCGGCTCGGGTTCCTGGTTTGGGGTGAAATAGCCAATGCCTACGAGTTTAGCGACGAATATATCTCGCGCTTCAACAGCGAGTGGGTGGAGGCCGTGCGCAGGGATATCAATCACCCGTGCATAGTGGCATGGACCCCGTTCAACGAGAGCTGGGGCTATCCCTCCCTGAAGGACAACATTGACCAGCGCAACCATATCCGCTCAGTTTACTACCTCACCAAGTAAGTTATAGTTCATTCTATTCTGAAAAATGGTGCATCGCTCATAAGTTCAGAACGCTGGATCCAACTCGGCCGATCAACGACAATTGCGGCTGGGAACATGTTGCAACCGACCTGACGACTTACCACGACTACTCCGACTTTCCTGCGCTAACAGAGACTTGTGCGGACTTCCAAAATGGCATCCTGGGCAAGAAATCCAACCGCGACATGTTCGTGCCCCCCATCCCGGCTACGCCATCTACTCCTTCAGACTCTGGTGCACAGCATGCCCCTGGGGCCCCCGTCATCTGTTCTGAATTTGGCGGAGTCAACATCATCCCCGCAAAGGGAACCGCGGCAGGGGACCGGGACTGGGGATACACCACCGCCAGTGATTCAGAAGATCTGCTGAGTCGCCTGGAAAAGCTAGTTATGGCAGTGGTGAAAGGAGGGCATTCGTGTGGATTGGTCTATACTCAATTGTAAGCTTCCTTTCTTACTGTCTCGCTCATTATTGGGGCTTCGCGACCGCGCAAGATATCAACAGCTCCGTTCATCACTTCTAGGTGGCTAATATTCTGATAGGTGTGATATCGAGCAAGAGGTGAATGGTCTTTATTCGTACGATAGGAGGGAGAAAGTGCCAGCTTCCCGGGTCAAGGCCATTATGGATTTCGCTCACCGCTACTACCACGAGAATGTGGCTCCAAAATAGGCAAGAAATTCTTGCTACAGCTCAAGAAGTACCGGAAACGGCGAACGCTATGATAACTTTCTAGCTGACAGTACTGCTGCCCGGCAGACGGCAATCTATCCCTGCAATCTTTGTATCAAATGACACCTGGGTCGCTGGTAGTTATTACGAGCCGATGATGGCGACGCATCGATAGACAAGTTTGTGACAAGGCAGACAGCAAATGCGACAGGTAGAGAGAGTAATATATCTTATAATCTGGGAAGGCGATCGTAGCAACCTCAAGTTCAAGCACTCAACCGGCTACAATTCTCACTGGAATTTCTGTCTAAACCAAGCGATCTACGCTTCCTTCTCTGATCCCTTGCCCGCCATTTTCCGAGTTGGAGTCCGCCGTGTATCGGACCGAGATCGCCGTAGTCTTTACAATGCCTCTCGGCGGTGCGCCGTCCTCACTACTGAGGCTGGTATCATCTGCTTCCGCGTAGGGATGGTATTTTCGCATCTCTCTCTTGGCTGCGGCTTCTTCAACACCCAGCATTGGTGGCTGGGTGGTTACCATCTCGAATGCGACCGAGGTATCGCCACGAGGAGCCGAAATCTTGACGTGAGATCGACGAGAGTACGATGCGGTGGAATTGGGAATGTACTGGCGACCGGTTGAAGGGTAGGTGGCTCGACGTGATGAGCCCAGCAGACGAGGCAAGTAGGTACTGGCAATGGCCTTGAGACAAGGGGCACATGCAGCCAGAACGGCGACATGGACCTCTACTGCCGAGCTACAGAAGCCAATGGAATAGGTGGCATCGTACACGGGGTGAGTTGGAAAAAAGCCTTGAGCGAGGAGAACTATCCGCCAGACTCCCACCCCAGTTGCTCTGTACTTGTTTAGCCATCTGGTGTCCATTCCCTGGGAAATGTACTTACACTGCGCCCATGCAGAGCACCACGCAGACAGCAACTTTCCTCCTTAGCGGCATGTGTAAACCCCAGGTAATGATGATGGGAATCGACAGAACAAGCACGTCGGTGAAGAGGTAGGCTGCCGCCGTCGCCACGTAGAACGCCCCCTGATTGATGCAGGATCCGTTTGAGATGGAAAAGTCATACACGTAGGCGACCGGACTGCACTGAAAGATATCCACAACTAGGACCGCAATGAATAATGCGACCGTAATGAACATGGTGGACCATATAAGAAGGTTAACGATCCGCGATTGGGATTCGAGGCGACGCAGAAACACGAGGATAGACAGCTTCACCATTGTGAGGCATGGATTGTAGACTACTTGGTTCGCAAAGTTCCACTGGTCCAGTCAGTCAATGTCAGCGATACAAGGCGGGGATAGTGACCCCCTACAATGAGTCCTAGCTTGATGTCATAATTTTTTGGGATGTCCCAGATATGAATTCCCACATAGTTTGTCTTGATATCTGTCTTGGTTAACGAGCAGTACAGAACGCATCGTAGTCTAGAGGGTACCTACAATACCAGGAGGTGATTGATTGCCCGATGGCAAGAATCTGTCAAAGTCAGCACCACGTAACATGGATTCGAGAAAGGGGACTATACATATCCAACCACAATAAGGATATCATCTTCTCGTGGTTAGTCAAAATGAGCCACTGAATAAGGGTGTTTCCCACCTGCTCCCAAGCGCGACCGAGTCAAGTAGCGACTCCAGATTCGCAGCAGCACTGCGATTCCCCCGAGTACGGGGAAGGCCACAACCACGCCCAAGGCAGTCTTCTGGTGACCATCGTCCACCATCTTGGCCATAGAGACAGACGATAAAGGCGATCCGTCGACATCGAGGGGAATATTATTTGCTAGAAATTGCCCTGCTTAAGGTTATCTGTCGAACCCAAGGCATCTATGCGAACCGGGAATAAGTCCATGGAGCGAGCGAATAGATGCTTTGTAGAAGCCTCTGTATGAAACGACGCTACTGCAAGGTTTGGATAATGAAGACTAAATTAGGCATAAGACTACAACTGCATTGTGAGAGCTGGTGGTGGATGTCCACCAGTCAAAGCTCGAATAGTATATAGCCCGATATTCTAGTGCTCGGTAGCCATCTGTTGACGGTTAGACTGGAGTTACTAATAAGCGGAAATTTTTGTCCGACAAGATCCACCTGTGGGATGTCCGACCCTATACCCAGAAAAGCATCGCACGCCAGACCATTGCATATTAGAGTCCAAAGAGGCGTGCACTTGTGGCGGGGGTGTCCGTTGGTCTTCCGGCGGAGATGACGGCCTTTACTGCCATCAATGTGGCAGGTTGGCAGGTCGGAGATGAGACACGGCAAAGATGACAGGGTTATCAACAGAAATAGCCGGACTTCCGGGTACATTTCATTCTTAGGTGAATGGAAAGGGAGACTGTGTGCATTATGTAGCCGAGCCCTCATCCGTATTCACTTCTTAGACACTACCAGGGCAACTATCTGCTCCGCCGGAGAGTTTCCAGCACCCGGCCACAACCCCCCTTCCTCCCTGTTGCATGAAAAGTCGGTACTTAAACCCCATGCAGGGACGATAGTCGTCTGACTAATCGGCATCTTAATGCTTAGCTAGTTAAATACGGGGTATTCAGGCACAGATGATTTTGCGATCACCCTGTTTTGCGGATCGCAGACTCCGCCCATCACCCCGGGGAGAGCGATGGATGGCTATCTTGTAAATAACAAGCAGATTTCCAAACACCTTTCCCAGATCGCAATCGTTTTTATCTCCCCCTTAGACCCAGACTGGATAATTAGTGGATCAAGTCCAGCTGTTATGCCTGTCATTTCCGGGCTGCGCCGGCTTTTCCTGGAAGACCCTGTCGGGGCCTGGCCAACACGTCTCATAGCAGGAGGAGGCACGGGTTTCTTGGGATTGTGGGATTGTGTCTCAGACTAAGTATACTAAATCTGCCAAATTCCAGTGCATCCAGCTTTGCTCGTCTTAAAACCGAGCTGACCGGCTGCCTCCACTGCTCCACAACATCGCGCGGCCGGTGGAGGATAGCTTAATCTAATGCGGGTTGGGGGTCACCACACCACTGGTCGCCGGATGCACTAATGATACTTAGCCCAGGTCGGTTACGATCTAGCGAGATAAACCACCGTGACGGGGCTATCGGTCGCACTGGCTTAAATACTGCTTGCTAGGCAGCTTTTAAGCTGCTGTTCTTTGTTGTCTTGAACAATGGCTCCTTCAACTTCGTTCCTCGTGGCGCTCGCCATCGGTACTGCCTCCCAGGCCAGTGCGGCCTCCAGGACGGTCCCCGTCGCGGCCACAACCGTCCCAACAGCTAACTCTGTGGTCAATGCTCCCTTTTTCGACAGTGAAATCCATCAACTTACAGATGGCGTGCTAGCTCAGTTACAGTCCGCGCTGGGAAATTCTACCGCCCTCTTCGAGTTCAGCCGGAATACCTCCACACAGACCCTCTCATCAGGCGAGTGCAAGGTCTTCCCCAGTGATGCAGCCTGGCCATCCGACTCGACATGGTCACTATTTGACCAGCTGCTGGGCGGCGCACTCATCAAGACAGTCCCATTGGCCGCATCCTGCTATCCATCCTGGCCAGAGTACAATGCAACTGAGTGCAACCATGTGTCGGACGACTGGACCATCTCCTACCTACAGTGAGTTCACCCTGTGATACGTAGACTCCTAGTCTATTCTCGCCAGAGCATATTGTATTGACAAAGCTGGACAGTGCAGCAGACCCCGCGTCGGTGATGTGGCCGCTGTTCGAGGGCCGCAGTTGTTTGCCACCCGACCTGACATCCGAATCTTGCACGTTGGGGGGCTACAGCAGCTACGCCGTTAACGTAAGCACGGTAGCGCAAATCCAGCTGTCCGTGAACTTTGCCCGTAATACTGGCCTGCGCTTAGTCGCCAAAAATACCGGTCATGACTTCAATGGCAAGTCCACTGGCGCCGGAGCCCTCGGCATCTGGACCCATCACCTCAAAGATATCGTCTATTACGAGGACTATCGGCTTGGCAATTATAGCGGTCCAGCAGTGAAGATGGGTGCTGGTGTTCAGGCGTTCGAAATTTATGAGAAAGCCAACGAGCTTGAGTTTACTGCAGTAGGTGGCGAAGGCAAGACTGTGGGCGTGGCCGGCGGCTACGTGCTTGGAGGAGGTCATTCGCCTATGTCGAGTGTGTACGGATTGGCTGCAGATCAAGTGCTGGCACTGGAGGTAGTCCTTGCTAATGGCCGATTTGTCACCGTTACCGAGCAATCAGATCCTGATCTCTTCTGGGCCCTTCGTGGTGGAGGTGGTGGTAAGTAAAAAAGCCCCTTGCGACTCTGTTGACCGTATCATTGACGCGAAGGACTAGGTACATACGGCATTGTCACCTCCATCATCTCTCGTGTCTACCCCAAAGTGCCTGTCACCGTCTCAACCTTCTCGTTCACCACTGGCAGCAATGTCTCGGCTGATGCCTTCTGGGCGGGTGTGAGCGCGTACATGAAACGCTTTCCGGTTAACGCCGATGCTGGAACATACGCCTACTTCTGGGTCATCTCCACGGGAACTGACGCGTTTGAGTTCCTTATGAACCCCTACTTTGCGGTTAATCACACCGTAGCCGAGTTCAACTCTCTGATGCAGCCATGGTTTGAAGAGTTGCATCACTTGGGCATCTCCTTCCAGCCAAACACGACCTACTACGACAACTTCTATGACGCCTGGAACGCGGGCTTCCCGCTAGAGACCGTCGGTTCGGTGACCATGATGACCGGATCCCGACTTTTTCCACGCGCCAACTTCGAGGATCCGGCCCGATTCAACCAGACTGTGGCTGCTCTCCGCTCCACCGTGTCGGCCGGTTACTCCTTGCTGGCCTTTAACCTGAAAGCCGACTTGCTCGATGGAGTTTCCCCAAGCTCGGCCAACCCAGCCTTCCGCAAGACCCTGATGCACGCCATCACGTCAACCAGTTGGTCAAGCAATGCCACCAATGCCGAGATTCTGGAGGAGATGGAACACTTCACCTACGATATCTTGGGAGAGTGGCGGCGCACTTGCCCGGAGGCGGGCGCCTACATGTCCGAGGCGGATGTCATGGAGCCGCACTTCCAGCAGGCATTCTATGGCTCCTACTATGATCGCCTGTATGCCCTGAAGCAAAAGTATGATCCTACAGGACTGTTTTACGCACCGACTGGAGTAGGTAGTGAGAACTGGAAGGTGCACAGCTCGGATGGGCTGCCGGATCAGAATGGCCGGTTATGTAAGGTGTGAACGGGATGTATAGAGAGCAGCACTCACTTCTGTCGAGCTCCTTGCCATAGATCATGTATATATTTTTGGCCTTTCGTAAATTAAGCATTATATTGCCTAATAGTGGGCCATACTCAACCATGCTCACAAGAATGGCATAGTTTCACTGACTGGGCTCAAGGTTTAGGCTGCGGCAATGTGGCCGGAAGTGAAGAACTGCGACTTGTAAGCTTCCACTACGAGCGGATCCTGCACGGTTGGCCTACGCATAGCAGGATAATGTCACCGATCTCAAGAAAAGCAATTGCGCGTAATATTGCGGCCAGACTAACACCCACCAGACATCGTGACAACGCATCCTCAATATGCTACCGGAGCGCTGTACCGTCTGATGAATGAGCAGCTAGTTCATCTACTTGGAACAATTTTGTTAGTATTGAAATATGAAATAGTTCACGCATCCTATTTGTCGCACCGTCCGGTGATATTGCAGGCTAATTTCTCGGCTAGGGCATCTGTGCATGATAAGCCAAATATAAGTAGTACAGGAGGTTGCGGATCGTAGTTTACAAACTGTAGCCTGCGGGTGACCCGGGGGCAGGAGAGGGAAAATTGAAGCGTCGACTACTCGGAGGCCCTGTACTCCGAACACGCGGCCCTGGGTATCCACCACGGCCATTGGATCGTCAGCAGTTCCCATAGCACATGTGCACGAGGCATGCGCGATAGACATGGCATTACGCCTGATCGAGACTTCGATCTCCGAGTCGGTCTCAACCGAATCTCCCGGAAACGCTTCCGGGCCAATTACCACCGGATTGAGGCCACTTGATTGCCAGAACTGCCGCGCCCGCTTGAGGCCTGCTACCATGACCTCAATGTCTGCCGATGCAGTGAGCCAGTTGGGGTTGATTAGAGGCGGGACGGCAACGTCCCTGGAGGTGACTGTCACATTGCCACGGGATTTCGATACTCCAAGACCAAACACAATGGAGGCGTAGTTCAAATTATCGTCAGGCTCTTGCGTTCCATCTTCCCTCCCCCCTCTATATGCTGCCATCAATATATACTCAATCTCGGGCCAGTCTGACGGATACTGGTCCAGAAACTCTTGGGTATCGTTCGATAACTGCGCACGCAGATCGTTGGGAATCTTTTCCCACGCCAGGGCCTCATTCCCAGCGCTGGTATAGGGTCCAGCGGCCAGCTTGTCAAATTGCTGTGCTGCCTGGGCTTGTGCCTCCGGCGAATTCATCGCAGACTGTGTGACCACATTAACAGGGCGCGCCACGAACGACAGGACTTGGTCTTGCAGATTTTGGCCGACGCCTGCCCGGTTAGCCACCACAGGAATACCCAGTGGATTGAGAACCTCAGCAGGCCCAACAAGAGATACCATCAGCAATTGCGGTGAGCCGAAGGCCCCTGCGGAGAGAATGATCTCCTTGGTCACGTTCAACTGGTAGGTGAATCCCGCGGTCTCCACGATCATCGCTGTTGCCCGTTGGTTACCGTCGAAGAGGATCCGCTTAGCCCGCGTGGACTGATAGACCTGGTAGTTGGGGCGACTTAGTCCACTACTCAGGAACGCCGTCTCGGACGACTCCCGCAGCATCGTGGAAGCGTTAATGGTTAGCAGGGTATACCCCGAGCCCAGTAGCGAGCCACTCTGGAATCCGGGGATCATTGACAATCCCACACTCTTCATGCCCTGAAGGGCCCACGAAGTAAAGGCCTGGGCGTAGTGGGAGTAGGTCACAGACAGTGGACCCGCTCCAGTGCCCAGCACGCTGGCATCATACCATGGGGTGGTGTTGGCTAACCGCAGGGACTGATCAGGCGGGGTGAAGTGTAAGCTTTTTTCAAAGAAGGGCAGCAGGTTGTCGAAGGTGAAGCTGTCATCATTTACCGCCTCCGCCCATTTCTGATACGCTCCTTTTGTGCCCCGGTGGAATACCATTCTATTCCGGGCGGAACTGCCTCCCAGGCATTTACCGCGCGGGTAGTGTACCTGTGCATCGTAAAGTCCCTGTTGCCAATAAATCCGTCAGCATTTGACATCTCTCATTCTGCCGATTGCCCTGAACTACGTACCTCTTGCGGGGTAGTGACATATCCCCAGTCAATCAAAGGTTGCCAGTCAGATGGGGATGGACCACTGTATTCTCCGGCACTGGCAGGGACCTGGCTTAGATTACCATTGTCAATCTCGTAGAAACCTCCTGCTTCTATGACAGCCACCGAGCCGTTCTGCTGCTCGGCTAGTCGCGTGGCCAGCGTCAAACCCGCGGTTCCACCTCCTACCACGATGTAATCGAACGTTGCATTGGTCCCAGGAACACCGAATGAGGACCCCAGAGGCCTTTGTCCCAGTGCGTGGGCGGAGGCAATTAATACTGCCCCACAGCTAGCATTGAGCACAATGCGCATGTTGGATGTTGTATGAATACCTCATGAAGCTTGCAAAGTCAGTGGGGATTCGAAGAGACAGCGCAAATGTCTGGCGACTGCTGTCTCTGCAAGGGCGGAGGGGCCCTGGTGTATAAAGCAATTGTCACTCATTGCTGTGGCGCCTGTGAAGCTCCCGTAAACGGAATGTGGATGTTTATGCTCGTTTAACGTCACTTGCTGGAATGTTGGTGAATGATCCGCGGCGGCTTTGCGGTCAGCGTTCCAGTGATAATAATGCCGTGGCTTAGGCAAATGAAAAAGCCGGTATTTACTGTAAGATGGTACGCAACGGTGATCCATATTTCGGGATACTACTGCTATGCTGAGTAACACGCGTTCAATAGTAGAATTATTATATACACAATGCCTCGAAGCGACGACGGATGGCTGCTTGTGACATCTAACCCGCATATTCCACCTCTTCCTTATCGTGCCACAGCATACTTCATCCACAGTGGGTCCTGCAGCAGGCGTTCCAAGCAACTCTCTTCCACTCCTACCAACACCTCCATCCCCCCCTCTGGTGGCGCCGGCAACACGAGTTGCAGACCGTTGATGACACCAATGTGAGGGGCTCGCACCGCGCCGATATGGTGGCCCATGAGGGGACCCCATTCCAGTCCATATAACTGGAAGTTGATCCAGGAAGTCTGTACGCAGTTGAACCCAGGGACATCCAGGAATGCCGTGGGCACCAGGCAGTCCACATCCTCCAACTGCTCTACGAGTGCGACCAGGTCATCCGTGAACTGCCGGTCGGCGCGGAGTACTTCTTTACGGATCAGGATGGCTAGATCCGCAAGGCTAGCGGAGCCCAGAATGGTGCGAACCGGGAGGGAAACCCCGAGATACTCCAGAAAGCATCCCAGGGTCTCCGGGTGAACAGGCGGATCGGTCCGTAGGCGCCCGTCGATCGCGAGATTGAAAACAGATACGGGATCACCCTGGAGAGTATCCAGGGGCCACTGCACAGCCATCACCGTCCTCCAGAGCAGCGCCGATAGGGCGTCATTGGTAGAAATCCAAGTTTGGTCTGAGGTCATGGTAGCATGAGCGGGAGACGCCGCCTCCTTCAGTGCCGTCAGCGCTGCAGGGGAGAAATAGAAGACTTGAGTGCGATGGTTCTGGGCCAGCATCTTGGGGGGTGCTCCGGCCGGCGCAGATGGAAGCAATGTGTACTGCGGATGAGTGCCCAGTGAGCCGGGTTTACGTCCAGATGCACGCATTGCGCATTCGCGATCTCTGAAAGTCGCTTCTGGGAGCTCGATGGGTTCAGGAATGGCCATGCCCTGAGCACGACGACACTCCTCCGCCCAAACCTTCATCCACACCTGGTATGTCGTGCCGTCACCAACTACATGCAACACGCACCAATTCAATAGCAGACCACCGGGGATGAAGTTGGCCTGCAAGAGAGATACTGGCAATCGCTCTCCCGAAGTGGGCCATACAGAGCGGCGGCATAGCACATCGGCATCAAAGAAAGCCACCGGGAACGCCCTGGCCTGAAGCTTTGCGTATGTGGTCGGAAATTTGCCGGGCGCACGCAGATCTTGGGTCACTATCGGCTCGATGTTTCCGTCGAGGAGGCGTTGGAGGCGAAGGACACCTCGTTGTGTTGTGCGATGGTCCGGCACCGCCTCGCACGCCATAACCGGTAGCCGGCGAGTGGTGGCCACATAGCTCACCCGGAGAATGTCGACCACCTGGTCGAGATCATAGTCATCCCCTAGTGGAAAGGGAAATATGTACCGCACATAGCCCTTGGGACCGATACGTTCTAACGCCGTGAGGCTCGGGATGTCGCTCGCTTCAGCTATCGAACCCATTGCAACGCATGAAATGATGCCTCCAAAAGTATGTCGTATGTAAAAGAGGGTCAGAATCCCGACATGCAAGCCAAGTACAGGCACATCATCCTCAAATTAATACCTTTCTCCTGAGCAGAACCCCGCAGACGGTTCATGGATTGGAGAAGCAGCGACAGCACTAAAATGCATCCTGTTGCGACGACATCAGGCCAGGCTTCCCAATGCGTCAACTGACAGGAGAAAGCGATATCCAGTCTAGAATATGATTGGCCCTGAGGCTGGCTTGGGTTATCCATCACTGGTGAAAACTTGGATTCTTTGCTTAACAGCCGTTTTATCCGACGGGGAGCAGCGGACGAATTGTGATCGTCGAAACGATCCCTGTAAGCTGTCAGCACTAACGCAAGGCTAACATGCTAAAAGCGACACCGTCGTTCACCCCGATGTGCCAACCATTGACTATAGTGTTAACTTGAAAGGAATCCCCTGCTAGCTTCTTGAGCGCTAGGAAAAATGAGCAAATAGCGTCTCCCGACCGACCGATGGCCGTCTGATATAGTCCACGGCAAAATGATAACCCCTTTAATATTTCCTCGGTGCACCCAACATCAACTTAGCCGCAACATAGAAGCTGATAAAGGGCAACGTATTACCGTAGCTCATCTTGTTTTTCCAGAAATGCACATGAGGGACTTGGATCCAACTATAGTGGCCATCTTCGGTCAACCTCCTGCCCACATCGATCTAGCTGAAAGTCAAGTACGTCGAGACAATGCAGCCGTGATTGTTCTGCTGGTTCTCAGCATAATTGCAGTGGGTCTCCGGTTCATCGCGAGACTGGCCGTGCGGAATCCTTTTCGACTGGACGACTGGTTGATTCTGGCGTCCCTGGTAGGTGAACAAGATGAGTTGATCAGCAATGGGTCTTAAAAGTGCTAACATCGACATCGCTACTTACCAGGTTTTTGTCGCAGCCACAGCAGGTCTAAGTCTAGCAGGTACAGCGCGAGATACTTCCTATTCCCGCAGATACATCGGCTTCTAAGCACTTGTCAAAATTTTAGGCGGTGCATTTGGCGCTGGAAAACATGTATGGGCAGTATCTCTGGCCGATGTGTCAACTATCTTCAAGGTAAGATTGTGCGAAACCTTCAGGATATTATATGGTAACTTACCAGGCAGATCCTGTTCACATACACCTTTATGTATGCTGCCGGATGTTCAGCATATAAACTCTCGATCCTTTTCTTCTACCGCCGGATCTTTGTGGTTGTTCACCAGCCCCTCTCCCTCCGAATCTCCGTTTCGCTTGGATTTGTGCTCGCGCTCTCATACCCTGTTATTGTCTGGGTGGCCATGGGAAACTGCTGCAAACCGCTGTCCTATTTCTGGAATCAGTTCCAAGGTGCGTCGGGAACGTGCATTGACACTGACACATTCTTTCTCGCAACCGGAATCATTAACATGATCAACGACATTATAATCCTTATCATTCCCTTTCCACAAATGGCAAAGCTCCAAATGAACCGCCGGAAGAAGATTGCTGTGTGCCTAATTCTTGCGTTGGGTAGCTTGTGAGTGTGTCATACTCCCAGTTTGGACCACCCCTAACGTACCTTCCAGCGTTTGCGTGGCCAGTGCCGTGCGCATATATGTTCTATATCGATTCACCCAAGCTCGTGATATTACTTGGATGATGGGACCGCTGTTCATCTGGTCCAGTATTGAACCATCCGTAGCTATTGTTTGCGCCTGTCTCCCTCATCTCGGACCACTGGCGCGTCTCACCCGCAATCGGATACTGTCCAGTCAAGGAAGCAAAGGCATTCAATTCCCCTTCTCTGGGTCTCCATAGAAGCCTTCACGTTGTCATGGAGGCCGGTCCCACTGGCAGGCTGGCATACGACTTAGCCAGCCTGGACGCGTAAGGACGCTAACCTCTACCTGCGAGGTAGCTGAAGACGAGGTTGGGCTCGCCAACCTTGGGACGGATGACATGACGGCACAGCATACGCCATCTCTGCGCTCAACATCGGGATGCCCCATTCCAGATCACTCCATTGTCGTCCGATCTAGCTTGGAGCAATCCGTCTCCTATCGCTAGACCAGGGGGTGTGGCAGAGTATGCACGGCACGGACAGTGGGGATAAATGTCGTAGTCACGACAGATTGGGGTGTATATAAGTACGCCAGCTATGCTTAGATAGCATCAACAAGGGCTAGTGACTAACACGGTGGGGCAATGATAAGAAAGGGTAGAGAGGCAAGACTTGCTCTCCTCCCGTCTGTCGTGTCTACCTGAAACACTACCAAAACCGGGCCAAGGGTCTCTGAGCCTCACCCAAAGTCCGATCTACATGTGTTTTCTACTGATTGAGTGACGAAATCAGTATGGTGAAAGCCTAGTTCCGGCGTTTTATGGGTAAGGTATTTTTTCTTCCTGGAACTAGGATTATTGTGGCTCAAGCACGTTTTGGTTTCCCGCTCTGCTTGTCAAGCGCTGCAACTCTCAGCATTCAATTTGCTCGGATTTTTATTATAAACGAGTGTCTGTTAAATATAGGATTAATGATAGTTAAGGATAGTAATAGAATTTCAACGAATGACAGATGTGCCACCACGCAATGACCATGAACAACATGATGCCCGGAGCACCACCCCTTACAATCCGAGCCACACCACCATGGGTTGCTTATTTACCTCAAGTCGAGTCCTCGGATGCCTTCACCACCACAGGAAAGCTTTCGCTCGCAAGTTGGGCAGAGTCCTCCACCCACACCAGCTTGTAGACATTTTCAGTGTCCGTCTTTGCCGCCCAGAATTGTGCTTCCAGCTGGGTATTATTGTTGTAGACCAGCTGCGATGCAAAGAGGCCAAAGCCCGTGACAACACCATTTACCCCTTTAGCCTGGGCAAAAGGTAGCACGCCGAGGCAGTTGTCGCTTTCCGGTCGGATGTACAGGGAACCCGCACGAGTCCCGTTCATGAACGTGCCGTTCACGATCCAGCAGTCGTCCGTGATGGAGGGCAGGTCCCAATACATGGGCGTCAGGTCTGCTGCAGTGTTCTCCGGATTTTGGGCGATGTACAGGAGGCCTAGATTGTCGGTCAGCAGCGGCTAGATGGTACATGACTCCGGAAGCCATACCATCACTGAGCCCGTAAGCGATGGGATAAGCGGAAGAATTCTGTCCGTAGGCCAACAAAGTGGCATTGGTCTCCGATCCCCGCTTGACATGGGTGCCCCAAGCAGCGCCAAGGCCAGCGTGCAAGGCGATCAGAGGGCAAAGAAAGCTCGTCCACTGCATCATAGGCTGGTGGTAGACTCGGTGTTGGGAAGGGAGGTAAATAAAACGATGAAGAAAGGAATATGAATGTAACGAATGTGCTTTGCGTTTTTCGGCCAGGAAACAAAAACGTCGTTATCATACAATCCTATACAGGGAAACCTCCCCAATTATAGGCTCAGTCCTTGTAGTGGACCCCTAGCCCTTGAATGCCAAGCTTGATAATTCCTCGCATCCTCTGGGTTCTGGTACTCAAACGGAATTCCCGAGTGTGAGTCCGCGGGAAACCGGCAAAATCCTTCGACTGTATACGTGGTCCTCAGGCCATGCTAACACGAGCGAAACCTTGATCGATGCGTGGGTGACGCATGCCTGGCCCCAGAATAGGGCTGAATGGGAATGCCATTTTGTTGGCAGACACGGCAGAGCCGGTGGAAGACGGTAGAACTGCCAGTGCAATGGGGACGGAAAGCTTGGTGCCAAGAGCAGAAAAAATAGATCTTTTGGGTGGAACCAAACACAACGCCAGTGGAGCGGTTGTGTGATGACGTTGCGGAACCACGCGAGCCTGTGGCTGATACCAGCGATTTGTGGATAGTTCACTGTAGTCTGCGATCTTGACCCATCTGGTCTGTTCATCCTTGCCCCATGGGGCACTAGTCTCTGCACACTAGCTGGAGATTGTCCCGGCACCTACCCAGCAGAGCTTGGTCGACTCGATCGTCACGGTACAGGGCTCTCAGGGCTCTCAGTGTATCTGAAACTTGAACGTCTTTCTCAACCCTGTGCCACCATGATAGCCCCCATGATTGTGGGAGCTCAGAGATCCTCGGGTGCTTCCCGTTGCTAAACCTCCCGGGGCTTCTTACGTACTGCAGGATTAAATGCCTCGAACGCACCCGCTGGCCCTTCAGATACTGCTATCTAACATTTCTGTCCTACCTTCTCCCTCGGGTTGGTAGGCATAAATCCAACATCGTCAATGTGGCCGCTTAATTATATTTCCGTTATGCTCTGTCCGATTCCACATTTTCCATAGCTCTATCTAATAATAACTGGATAATTTGATGCTGGAAGGAAGATTTAGAGATTTCCTGAATGTTGGTCAACAAGCAACGCAAGCAGGGGCTTCTGGCATGCGTGTCGCTGGTGGGCCCTCCATAATGGCACCCCCGATCGCACCAATACTCAAGCGCAGGAGCTTGATGACCAAAGATAGACTCTCACTATCCCCATGGTGTCTTCAGCTTGCATGGATCGTCGGTGGGGGCGCGGATAGGTGGCCCTGGTACCAAAGACCATTGCCGGATACTCTACCACAGAGACGGACCATGGCCGAGCAGAGGTACCTGGAGGTTGTCCGACAATGCTCAACCATCTCAGAGAAGCATATAAAACTTGACCATTTGGAAGCAGATATGCCACTGCTGCAGAGTATCTTTCAGTCCTCATTATTGTGCACTTGTCATTCTTTGATGCTTTAATCCTCTTCCTATACGTTCGCTGTGCCTTTTTATTCAATCCATCCCTTCTTTACTGTTTCATTGAGTCGCTCGCTTCTATCTCTTTCACGCGCTACGTTCGCGTTAATGTTAGTATAATGTGGTTTCCTGCCTCTTTTCTTCTGTCGGCCCTTGCTATACCACAGGTCCTCGGGGCTTCCGTTCCGTCCACCTCAAATCCTAAAGGATGCGTCAACAGTCCGACCAACCGGGCCTGCTGGCGAGACGGGTATAACATCTCGACCAACTACTATGAGGAGGTCCCTGATACCGGGGTCACGCGCGAGTACTGGTTCAATGTTGAAAATACCACCGCCGCTCCAGATGGCGTTGAGCTTCCTGTTCAATTGATCAATGGCTCCTTCCCCGGCCCCACGATCATCGCAGACTGGGGAGATACAGTTAGTAAGTAGTATTTGCTCGTCCTGTTACTTTGTATTTAGTGACTGACTCCTGGGTTATCTAGTCGTCCATGTCACCAACTCTCTGCAGTCTAATGGATCGGGTCTGCACTTCCACGGAATTCGACAGAACTGGACGGACCAGATGGACGGTGTCCCGAGTATCACGCAGTGCCCCATCGCTCCGGGACAGTCATACACCTACAAATGGCGTGCTGTGGAATATGGAACGGGCTGGTATCACTCCCACTTCTACGTTCAGGCGTGGGATGGTGTGTTTGGTGGAATCCTGATCAATGGCCCTGCCACGGCCAACTACGATGTGGACCTAGGCCACATCTTCTTGAATGATTGGTATCATGTACGCTTTACCTCCTACTCCTTCCAACTTCAGCATAATGCAGACGCAGGGCAGGCCTAATTTTGTCAGAAAACTGCGGATGAACTGGTCCTAGAATCCGCTACAAGTGGACCGCCCACTCCTCCCAACGGCCTAATCAATGGGACAAACACTTATGGCAACAACGGTTCGCGTTTCGAGACAACCTTTGATGCAGGTACCAGATACCGCATTCGCCTCGTCAACGCGGCAGCTGACAACCATTTCCGCTTCATGATTGATAACCACACCATGGAAGTGATTGCGGCGGATTTTGTCCCCATTCACCCCTACAACACCACACAACTGAGTATTGGCATGGGCCAGCGCTACGATGTCATTGTTACGGCTAAACAACTGAACAGCGGGAACTTTTGGCTGCGCGCAATCCCCCAGGAGGCCTGCTCCGAGACGGATGCCTTGAACAATATCAAGGGCATCATCCGTTATGACAACTCTTCCACGGCAGACCCCACGACCTCGGCCTGGACTTATACTGACTCCTGTGCCGATGAGTCCTCCTCTGACCTCATCCCTTACGTAGCCATCAATGCCTCGGACAATTTTGCCTACAGTACAAGTGAAGAGGTCGCAATCGAGGTCGCCTCGAACGCCTTGCTGTGGACCATGAACAAGACCTCCTTCCACACCGAGTGGGATTATCCTACTCTGATGCATGTGGCCAACCACAACTACACCTGGGCAGCCAAGGAGCGCATCATCCATCTCCCCTACCAGGACCAGTGGGTGTACCTAGTCGTCCACTCTCCCTTCGCCCAGGACCATCCCATGCACCTGCACGGCCATGACTTCTGGGTTCTGGCTTCGGGCTATGGTGATTTCGACGCAACAATGACCGACGCCCTGACTTTGGTCAATGCCCCCCGGCGTGACGTGGCGATGATGCCCGCCAGTGGCTACTTGGTCATTGCGATCAAGACCAACAATCCAGGTGTAAGTGCTGAACTTTTTCCCCTTGGGCCAGTCTGTTGGCTAATTTAGATGTGCAGGCTTGGCTCATGCACTGCCATATCGCTTGGCACACTTCTGAGGGCTTTGCGGTGCAGCTACTGGAGCGAGCCCCGGAGATTATCTACGACTACGAGACACTAAATGACACCTGCGCCAGCTGGAAGAGCTACGTCGCGGCTCAAGATGTCGTGCAGCACGATTCTGGTGTTTAAAGGGTTGTGGTTGAAAGTGGCCATTTTTGAACGACTGCCAGGAAGTGAACATTCGTTATAATAATCCAACTAATCTTCCAGCTAGTTCAAGAGCTTCCATGACTTAGTAGGGGGTGTTGTGTCAGAACTGCTATTTCTAGTAATTACTTGGTCTATTTATTAACTTCATATCATTGCTTTCTCATCGTAGATCTCACCGAGGGTCAGGTGTCCTTAGCACATACCAAAATTACGGTCATAAACAACAATACCCGCCGTGACGTGTTATTTACATTACTAAAACAAACTTCCACCGATACGTTGACAGATATTGTGCGTAATGTAACGTAAGTAATACGTACCATGTATCAAGTTCCCGCTTGGGCTGATAGTGTTACAAAAATATATATTTTAAACAATCGCCCATGTTCACTGCACTTCTGAAACCGCTCCAATGTCACCAAAACAATCGCACTTGATATGTATCTTGGGAACGACGGTATAGAAGGAACATTCTAATTCATCCGCAATCATGGTTCGAATTCCTCTAAGGCCCCCGGAGTACTCCAGAATGAGTCCCCGCTTCTCAGTTGACTCGATTGCTCTGCTCTCCGTTTCGGACCTCGAGGAGGAAGACTTGATCACACACAGAAGAGCAACCGGCAGACGCCTTCCATTCTTTAGGCAACTATCATTAGGGGCCATTCTTTTCTACCTCGGGCGTTCTCTTTACTGTGGGAATCGTCGCATCATTCCCCGTCGGTTTGGTGGCCTTGTCCGGCTGATGATAGGCTTTTTGATCTTGTTGGTCGCTTTGACGGGCATACTGTGGCCCTCGTATACGTATCTACCACCGCACTACCAGCTCCTCCACCAACAGGCCTCTCGAAGCGGCATTACAGGGCGAGGGAACCAGCATAATGAGACAGTTTTCATTGCAGCCATCCTCTACGACCCGGATGGTAAGCTAGCCAATGGGAGATGGGGACATAATTTGTTGCACCTAATCAATCTGCTAGGTGAAGAAAACGTCTTCCTCAGCCTCTATGAGAATGGCAGTGGCATTAGAGGTCAGAGTGCCCTTCGTGATCTGGAGGACCGACTGCCGTGCAACAGTTCCATACATATTGAACTGGACCTGGACTTGACTGCATTCCCGACAGTAACAGTCCCCGGGGGAGGGAAACGGGTGAAGCGAACTGACTACCTCGCAGAGATGCGGAATCGTGCCCTACGGCCACTTGATGAGCATTCAGATATCATATATGACAAGGTACTATATCTGAACGACGTAATATTCGATCCAATTGATGTGCTTCATCTCCTGTTCTCTACTAATATTGATGAGAATGGGGTAGCCCAATACCGGGCCGCATGCGCAGTCGATTTTATCAATGCGTTCAAGTTCTATGATACATATGCCACAAGAGATCTGGAAGGTTATGGGATTGGCCTCCAGTTCTTCCCTTGGTTCACCTCAGCGGGGTCGGGATCCAGTCGTAAAGACGTGCTGGAAGGCAAAGATGCTGTTCGGGTGCGCAGCTGCTGGGGCGGAATGGTGGCCTTCAATGCAAAGTACTTTCAACGACGCGACAACCCGGTTCGCTTTCGCGCCGATCCAGATTTGTTCTATGATGGATCAGAATGCTGTATTATCCACGCCGATATTCAAGATCCACCATTGGACCATACAAAGACCGCAGACACGGGCATTTACATGAACCCGTTTGTGCGGGTAGCATACGACGAGCGCAGCCACTCCTGGCTGTGGGTCACACGGCGGTTTGAGAAATTATACCCACTTGTCCACAATATTGTCAACCATCTGGCCGGTTTGCCTCGATACAATCCCCGTCGGAGCGAAATTCCCGGCCAGGTGGTCAGGGATACGGTCTGGGTGCCCGATGCGACCGATGCACGCGGGGGCGCATTCCGTGAAGTGGACCGCATCGCGGGAAATGACGGATTCTGCGCAGATGGATTTGGAGGATATCGGGGGCTTTCAGTGATTGTGGAGAACCGACAGCCTGGCCAGGATGGCTGGGAGGATATCCCAGTGCCATCAATCTAGTTATTTGCTCATGAAACGTCCATGGGCATACTATAGACTTGCAGAGACTAGGCCACCCTATGAGTATTGTTGTCTTCTTCAGCGGATGCCCCTCAGAGTAACAGACCCTGGGGCACTTTGGACCACGTTCGACACTTGCCAAACACCGTTCGACAGAGCTTGCCATACTCAACCCGCAAGTTGAACTCTCTCCAAGATCCTTGCGCGTGATGGTACAAGCGCGCAGAGGGGTCCGAGATGGGCTTGGAACCCATGTTTCCATACTTCCCTCGACCGGGACTTTTTAGAATTAGCGCATGGCAAGAGATGCATGTGAAGTAGACGGGCTATACCTGAATCCAGTGATGGGCAAAACCAAGACATCCTCCACTAATTTACTTTCCCCTCCATCCTGCAAGCCTGACAACGCGTTCCATCGGAGGCCGACCGTAGCTTCGAGCCAGCTCTGCACCGCATGAGTAAATGCGACAGGTCCAGTGAGGGTGAGGGGATCTATTGCGTCCAGATCGTTCGAATGCGGCTGAAGCGCAGGTTCCATGAAAAGACGGTCGAGAAAGATCTGCAAGATTGGATGACCTGGCGCCCATGCAAAGGACCACTGGGTCAACTGCACGGGCAGCAGGTATCCCATGCGCCAGTAGGTATCACTGTTCGACGGACAGTCTGCTTCTAACCCAACGATTGCATGGACAGAACCTGTAGAATTATACACACGCCCAGTCTCGTGATCTTCCCAAGGCAAAATATCAGTCTCGGCGATCCAAAATGTCGGCGATTGTAGAGGCTCAGTGTCGATATCTGCGTACTACGTGTTTGTCAGTTACTTACACGTGTAATGATATAAAGACCCGGGCATTTCACTCACAACCCCTCCGATCCACTTGGACACGAGGATCCGGAAGACATCCGACTGTTCCACGTGGCTGGGTAAAGCATAGAACTGTTTCTCCCGTTCGGGCTCGAACCGCCGAATAAACTGTCGTATTCCGTCATCGTCCCACAAAAAATAAGCCATCTGCTCGTCCGCCGTGCGTAACCATTTCTCCGTGCTCTGCTGTAACACGCGTGGCCAGGTGTCAACGCGCGTGCTCTTCCAGGTTTGGTGGACGATCAGGGGAATTGAGGAGTGCGGGATCTGTCGTTCAGTCGTCTGGGCCAAGCGCAGCACTCGCTCAGCGGCGTCGACGATGTTCTCGGGATGCTGTCTCGTCCCATTTGTCCAGGTGGGTGGGATGTACCACGCTGGAGACGACCTGTCTTAGCCGACGAGTTCAAAGTCTTACTCAGCAGTCATATGTTGCTTACCTCCACCACTGCGAGTATCCGTATGAACGCGTTCAAACAGCAATGGGTAACGGTGTTGAAGAAGAGAAATCTGTTTAATCGAGGTATCAGGCTGTTGAAGTAACCAGGTGAAAAGCACTAGGAAGCAAAGTGCGCCCAGCACGGGACGTCGTAACATGTAGCGCCAGACCATCGTTATGATGAGTATAATACTCCAGGGAAGGCGGGTGGCTAGTCGATTTATCCGGCATCAGCAGAGGTTAGCAAAGGCCATGATAATCTTTCATTGGGGTGGCTAGGCAGCCATGGATATGCCTTGTTCTTCGACTTTTTCTGCGTCGTGGCTAGTCTTGACTGCAACGCCAGGCCGGTGTATAACTTCCCGCGGGTCCCGTCACTTGTAATGCGGCTGCCTAGCAATAACCCCTAAAAATCACTAACCCTAAGCTCAGAACCTTGCCCTGGCTGGACCCTGGCTACAGTGACTACTAATCCAAGGAAGTACTAGTAGGTGTCATAATACGAGGTCAATCACACGTCCTAGCCAATGGGGGGCTGGAATGGCTCGCATGGCTTACAGAATTCGAGCCATCATCAGGGCCTGCGCCCTACGCAGCCCTAGCCGCGGTGGGGTCGAAGCTTAGTATTGCTTGGATTCGTGGACCCTTTTTAGGCCAGATGGCAGTGCATCTCTGGTGGGGGCTGATTCACTTCTTGTTATTACAAAGAAAAAGCTTTCTGCCCTGTTGGCACTGTGGTCTCTCTGTGATGAGCATAGGTATGATTGGCTGCGTACCCTGGCCAATTTGCTTGCACAGCATTACCTAAAAAGGGAAACACTACAATCCTCTAGACGCGGGACTGTCCGTAGTACCAGTCGCGACTTGCCAATTGCTGATCATGTCTCCACCCTTGCTCTCTGGTCGTGTCAGCACAGTCCAAACCCAGGGGAACATCCCACCGGCCTCGGAAAGAAGCTCGGAAAGTCGAGTTGTCCAGGCAGAAACGGGACCGGAGGATTACTGGTGAAACCCATCTGCGATACACACAAATACCACTGGCGTGTCCCGTATCACAACTGTATTACCGATCGGAGCTTGCCTTTTTGGCGGCTCAAAACCTGTCCATCACTGCCTCCTTCACTATTCAATTACATCCCTCAAATAGCCTCTCCATATCCATTATGTACCTTTTCCTTCCTTGCCATGCCTTGTCTCAGCCCCAAAGCCTTCCAGGCACTGTCAGCCAGCCGCAATGGCTCCCGCGCACCTCCGACTCGTGCTGGCAGCCCTCCTACTATTCATTCTAACCTCCCTGCTCGCCCCGTTTGTTTGCAATCTTTACCTACTGCTTCGATTACCCTTTGTGTGGAAAGCCTCATCCGCCGATGCTATCATCACTGAACAGAATGATGGATTCGATTTGACCTTTTCCGACTACAACAGCACATACTCCGTCGCCGAAACTGGGTTGCCTGTTCCAGTCCCCGCAAGGCTGCACCACGTCCAATTGGGCACACAGACCCCACGGGCAGAATGGCAGGATGCTCGCGATGAGTGTCTCAAGCAACATCCGGACTGGGAGACGTTTCTGTGGACGGACGAAAACGCTAGCCGCTTCGTGCAGAATCACTATCCACACTTTCTCCTCACCTGGGAAAGTTACCCGCACCTTGTCCAGCGCGTGGATGCATTGCGATACATGATCCTGCACAAGTATGGGGGTGCCGTGTTGGATTATGATCTGGCATGTAAACGGTCGTTGGAACCTCTGCGTCGATTCGAGTTCGTCGCGCCGGCGGCCAACCCCGTTGGTATCTCCATTGGCATGATGCTCGCGGCACCGAACAATACCTACGTGGGTGACCTGGTGCGGAATCTGCCAACCTTCAATCGAAGATGGTCGTTATTGCCTTACATCACAGTTATGTTCAGCACGGGATGTCATTATGCCTCGTATGTCAATCTTTAACGCATATAGAGAAGGAAGTACATGAGAGCTAACAAGCTACAGAACCATCTACACCATGCAGCGCGATACCTCTACCCTCCGCGTCCTAACTGGTCCCCCCGAGAACCCACGAATGCATATGCTCAACGGTGTGGTCAATACCCCGCTCTTTCGGCATTTGGGCAGTTCCTCCTGGCACGAGAAAGACGCAAAATTCATCAAGGCGTTTGCGAATATGGATCAACGGGTGGCGTTTGGAATGGTCCTGGTCGCCTTGGCAGGAGGATGCTGGGCTGTGAGCCTATGTGTGTCTCGGGGCCGGACATGGCACCAGAAAGACGCATTGTCACAGGAGATAGAGTTGTTGCAGAAAGCACATGATTCTTGAATACTTGTAATTTCTAGCTAGATATTTTGCTCACGGTTTTACGTTTGGATACCATATTGGAGACAAATAGTTTTGCTTAATGAAAGAATATTTGACAGAACATAATCACTGCTTAGGCTATCCGATACAGATTATTAAACCACATATAACGGCTCACTATCAAGTACAACACCCGGTCCCATGAGTACTGACTATCATGTTGACTGAATGCTGTTCGCGCAGTCAGGTAGGTCTGCCACGGACTTACCAGCAGCGCTCTGTTTCCGTATATGTCGTGTCCTGTGGGTGGCGGTGCTGCTGTCAGGACCGCTGCCCCGATGCGCCAGGCGAATGGCACAGAGGTCAAGATCAGATCAACGAGCGACGAGTACTTGCGCAGGAGGAATGTACTCTGTAGGGCATAGACCGGTGGAGCATGCGGAAAGTCCTCTGCATATTTTCTGCTCCCAGTTAGCCGCATTGCTTTGAATAGTAGGGTGACATTCACTTACCGAACACCGGCACTCACAGCCCTATGATTAATATGGCCGGAGACTCCGCCGTTATCGAAGGTGAAGATCTTCTGTAGTCTCAATACCTGGCCACTAGCTTGGAACGGTGTAGGGGAACCGTACCAGATCCACTTTCCACATGTGAACGTAATGGGCGACTATATCCTGAATAACATCCTGGCGCCACCACTTCTTTGGATTATCCTGTAAGGCACCGTGCTCCAGAACAACGCAACGAGCAGATGAGATGCCGAGTGCGGCACAGCTACGTTCAATTTCTGCCTTGCGGATGTCTCCCTGGCCATGATAGTCGCCTGCACCTCATTAGAAGATATACTACTCGGAAGAATTCTGGTGGAGAAATGACTCACCCGTCGATAGCACCAATAAGGAACGAGTGACATCCGGGTTGTCACGACCGTGAAGGATAGTTGGGCTAAAGAACAAAGTCTCATCATCGGGATGTGCCGTGACGAGAAGGACGTTCCGCGCTTGCTGGATGGTATAAGGAACAAGACGCGGATCTCCCGCGAGGTAGTATGCGAGAAGAAGATACAGGAAGATGGAGGCCGACAGCAGGATCAGAGCCGAGTATGCTATCAGACATCTCCAGTCATGTCGCCGCACTCGGCGAAGTAGGCGCCTGAACAGGCGGCTTGGGGTTGCCATCGATGGGCTCGGTGTTGTTTGTACGGAAGTGGTGCCAAGATGATATCCTGACTGGGTGTAATCGTGTCCTCCACACGGCAATCCAGTTTGTGGCATAGCCCTGGACCGAAATTTTCTGACAGTAAAAGAGAGAAGAAGAAAACCCTCGGTCTCTGGGAGGCCTGGGGAGTGTCGGGATCCGCGGACAACATCGATGTTGTGTATGTAACCGACGGTAATATATGACCCTGAAATACATCATGTTGTAAGTATGGTGAGTAACAATACCGGGCGTGACGAAGATCGGGGGTTTCCGCAGCTCGCACAACACACGCACCAGAAGCTTCGCTCATTAGCCTCAATTCCAACACGCAAATATACTAGGCAGCAATATACGCTTCTCCCGTCATTGGCTCGGCTCGATAAGCTTGATACGTCCTCCAAAAGCGAGTGATTTACCTAGCCAATGGCTGCAGCACGAGGATGATCTAGTGTTAATGGCCAAGGGGCTAAGGGTGAAACAAGGCTGACAAGCTTTACTGACGAAAGAAGGAAAAGAAAACTACCTTTATGGAGTAGTTCATATGTAAGACCAACTGAACTGGAGCCAAAGCCAAAGGTCTATTGGGTCCGGGCTTGCCCCAGGGAAATGAGCAATATTGACGAGCCCGTCATAATAGGGGTCCTGTCAGACCTCCGTCCTTCAGATCGACACGCCTAACGATCGGCCCCAGCCGTCATCGAGGGTCTAGGCAATAAAGAGATCAATCACTAGGGTGTCGAACATCTAATATGCTTGGCTGTATGCTGAAAATGGCCCTCGGTGGTAATAGTGACCTCTTGCTTCGGTCTCACCATATGAAGTAGGGTTTGCTTAGCGCAGCCACAGGGTATCTAGCTGAGGTCCTCTTCGTTGGTTACACCAATAGCCTGCCACCAAGTGGGAGGTTTTTTAGGCCCATCTGCAACCGGTCATGCAACTCCGAGTAGCTCGCGTCCTGATGACTGCAATTCCATCCTTGAGCTAACGCACACGATACTGTCTCTTTCAGTGCTAGGTCAGGGAAGTCAAGCCCCCATGAGTATGGATATCATGATCGTAGATACTTGTCCATTCGTGAACTGCATATATGTATGTACACATATAGTATGAAATATTCGTATAAACCATGTTTACGAATATATAATATCGGGAGCTCGAGCGCAGTATAGACCGACTAATATGCCGGCGTATTGCCAAGACAAGTAACTCCCACCGTATCCCACGGCTCACTAAGAATGCCTCCTCTTCTTCGGGACACTTATAAGCCATGAACTGACAGGACAACAATTGGTTGTCGAGAGTTTTTATTCGGGGTGACGTGCAACCCTTCTGCCACCACGTATGTGATACGTCCGCAGCAGGTGCAGATGACATGCAGGAAGGTTGCCACGGCAATCCCGAGCTTGTCCCGACACATTCCAACCTTCATTCATGAATTCAACTTTCTTCCTATCAGTTGAACTTCTGTTTCGCACGATGCTCACTCGGCTCGGTCTATACCTCCTGGCTCTGTTCTCTCCCGCTAGTGGCGATAGCATCCACCAAAGAACTTATTTCTACGTTGGGGGAAACTACTCGGTCACTGAGAATGGCGAGCATGTATACACTAATCAGATCTATGTCGAGAAATTGACCCCAGTACAAGTGACTCAGCCATATCCGATTGTTTTTATACATGGCCAGGCCCAGACAGCGACAGTAGGTCAGCCCAGACTCAGTTGGCGGGATGGCACTAACAGAGCATGGACAGAACTGGTTGAACAAGCCAGACGGCCAGCCAGGATGGGCATCGTACTTCCTTGATAAGGGCTACGAATGCTACCTGTTCGATCAGCCGTTCCGTGGCCGCAGTCCCTGGCAAATCTTCAACGGTCCACTGGAGACGTACTCGGCCGAACACCTGCAACGATACTTCACCGCGCCTGAACGGTATGGGCTATGGCCACAAGCTTCCCTGCACACCCAGTGGCCTGGGACTGGGGTCATGCGTGATCCCATATTTGACTCCTACTACGCCGGTGCTGTGCCATTTGTCAGTGATAATGTGCTGCAGCAAACTGCCATGCGCGACGCGGGCGCCGCCCTGCTGGATCGAATTGGCCGGCCAGTTATTTTGATGGCTCATTCGCAAGGCGGAATCATGGCATGGCTACTAGCCGACCAACGGTCCAATCTGGTGCACTCGATTGTCTCCATCGAGCCTGGTGGTCCACCGTTCAGCAACGCAATGTTTGGAAATACAACTGCCCGGTCATACGGGCTGACAGACATCCCCATTGCATACTCGCCGCCGGTGTCGGACCCGAGCACAGATTTCTCCACCACCATCTTGCCGTCCAACTCGTCAATCCTAGCAGACTGCATCATTCAGGCAGACGACCCCCCTGCGAGGCAACTGGTGAACCTGAGCAAGATTCCCGTGCTCTTAGTGACGACGGAAGCATCATACCATGCGCAGTATGATTGGTGCACGGTGAGGTTCTTGCAACAGGCCGGAGTACAGGCTGAACACTTGCAGTTGTCAGATATTGACATCCATGGTAATGGTCATATGGTGTTCCTAGAGGAGAACAGTGATGAAGTTGCGGCTGTTATTCATCGCAGGATTGGACAGTCCGATGACATGGATGGCAAAGCCGAGCTTTGATGTGATCTCAGCAAGAAAAATGGGGCTTGCCTGAAGGGAGGAGTCTCTCAGAGTAACCTTGAATCTTCAGGTAGAGTGCCCTCATCTTGTCCAGACCAAGCTGTTCATATTATGGCTACGAGAATCAGCAACCGTTTTACCATAATTCTCTGAGCCTTTGGCATCGGCGCGCCTGAATTGATTGCCGGTGGAGTTCCCAGAGAATTGGTACCTGGGGCATAAAGACTGTGCGACGCATGGGCCTCTCTCAACGTCAACGTCCACGTAAGCAAAGCTGTAGGCGATAACTAGAGAGGGAATCGATCTGTCAATGAATAGAATGCAGATTAATGATCCCACTGAAATAAACAGAGATAAATGCCGGGCTTCATTACTAGTTATCAATATGCAGCGATAGTACAGTATGATGCTCCCTGCTGATACCTCTAGAGCGCCAATCTGGCAGCACAATTGCGTTCCATTGAGTTCTATCGATTAATTAATGTGTATATAGACACACAGCAACACATCTCTAATTCAAGAGTCATGGTGCCAAAACGCGACCGTAGGAAATGTTCTCCCCAGCAACCCCGGCTAAGAGCACCGGGGAGGACCCGTGACGGCTGCCAGTATTGCCTGTTTTGGCAAGATTCCCCACTCCCCGCCTCCCCGCGAAGCGGAGAAACGGAGTAACAGCCTCTCCTCTATTAGGGCATCGGGGTTCGCACAACAAAGAACTCAAGTCTGACAGTATAAGTCGGAGGGAGACCCAATATACGTCCATATAGCATCACATATCAATCGTTCTCAATGGCATCCACCACTGCGTGTGAATCCATCTCGCTCACCGAGCCAGGAGAGCGGCCAATCTCGATGGTGGCAGAAGAACCACACAATGATTCTTCCGTTACCGAGGCTAAAGTCCCTTACCTGAAGCTCATCGCATCGGGCTTCTCCTTTTTCGTCGCTGGTGTCAACGACGGCAGTTTAGGCTCCTTGCTTCCCTACGTGCTCGAGACGTATCACGTTAGTACCGGTCTGGTAATTATCGTGTAGGTTCGCCCGAAGCAGAAACCCACCTACCTACGGTTAATGATAGTTTTGCTAGTTATGTTACAACTCTCGTGGGCTGGTTGGTGGCCGCTCTAACCAATAGCACCGCCTGCCAATACCTTGGATTAGGTTCTATGCTCGCTCTGGGGGCTGGACTTCAGGTGCTGGCCCATGTCCTGCGTGCCTGGCTTCCGCCGTTCCCATTGTATGCTATAACTTTCTTCCTAGCTAGTCTAGGACAAGCATTCAATGACACCCATGCCAATACATATGTCGCTGCGGTCAAGGCCGCCCACCGATGGCTCGGCTTTATCCATGCCATGTACATGGCTGGGTGTCTCGTCGGGCCATTGGTGGCTACCGCTGTGGCGTCTGCTAATAGGCAGTCACAGTGGAATCTCTTCTATGTCTTTCCACTTGGTTTGGGGTTAATCAACCTGATCCTGGTATTGATAGCCTTCCGCGATAGCATGTCCGTCCATCATTCCTCAGAAGCCGTTCAAAGCGACGACCCGCGGGCTTCGGGTCAGAACAGTCGCGGTACCCGTGCCGTAAGGGAGATTAAGGATACACTTCGTGTACCAGCTGTCTGGTTGACAAGTCTCTATTTTTTCTTTTTCCTGGGAGCGGCCATCACGGCTGGTGGTAAGTGAACCCATTTCGGTAGAGTGAAAAAGAGACTCACAGTGGTTAGGATGGATTGTCGAGTACCTTGTTCGCGTTCGGCATGGTGATGTGCACCAGATGGGTTATATCCCGACGGGGTTTTATGGCGGAGCTTTTCTTGGTCGACTACTTCTAGCCGAACCTACTTATCGTCTAGGAGAGCGTCGCATGATATTCATCTACGCTGCTCTGTGTGCCGGGTTGGAGTTGGTGTTCTGGCTGTTTGTTCATCCAGTGTTGCGCTAGACCTTCAGAGGTTGACTCATAGTATAGGGTGCCAAATATTGGCGTTGAGGCCATGGCTATTTGCCTTTTGGGCTTCTTCTCGGGGCCCTTCTTCGCAACAGTGAGTTCTGTTGTATTCTACAATAGCATTCACCGTCTAACATCGCACACAGGGAATATCGGTCGCATCTAAAATCTTTCCGGCTAACATTCGTTCCTCCGGGATTGGTACGTGGATTCCATGGTAATCCAACAAGCAACGTGTTAACTTTATGTATCCAGCATTCGTATTCGTGCTGGGGCAGATTGGAGGATCGCTCTTCCCCATATTGACGGGCATCATCTCTTCCCACACCGGCGTCAAGGCCCTGCAGCCCATGTTATTGGCTCTACTGTGCGCTACGGGTATCAGCTGGCTGCTGGTGCCTACTAAGGCGCCGAGACTGCGTGCAGATTGATCTATCAACCAAAGAGTAACTGTGGTTCCTGGCTACAATTGACATCTATCAGTTGCTTCTACGCTGTATGTGATGTTTGGGTTGTTTGGATATGACGCGATGACATTGATGATTGGGTATTGGATGACACAAGACATGTCAAACAGGCTATAGTGTTAATATGTCCAAAATGCACCCAGTTAAAGAGAGAAAGAGTAGGAATCGAGAGAGATGCTCGATAGGGAAGGTTGGGCGATCACCTGTTTGGGAAATCCAGTCTATAGATACAGTATAAGTCGGGGATTTCCCCTTGCGAACCAGTCGAAAGGGGTACTGTCGTATAATTGTATTCAATCGCAATTTGCAAAGCATGCGTACGTACTCGAAAAGCTAAAGCAGAAAGCGCAGCGTAGTCGCAGATACTCCGTAGGTATAAGGATGGGAAATGGCTAAAGGGCTAAGGATATAGAGAGGGTAGTCGTAAGCAGGAGTGATCTACAAGGGGCCTGCACGCCAACAATCCCCGGCAAACATACCCGTTTCAGTACATCTCCTCCTGAACGATCATTGCACATGACGAGAAGAGGGGTAGAAGATGGTGCTCTCCCACCAGATCAACGACTGGTTTGGGAGAGAAAGCATCAAAGCTCGCCGCACCTTAAGGAAACAGAATATCACTACAAAATCATCGAAACTGATCCATCAGCACCATGGAGGTGAGCCTATTTCTGCAGTCATAATATGCCAAACTGATGCGCGGGGTAGAACCCCTCATTTGTCCTGCGAGACATCAAAGACGTCGTCATTGAAGACCGGCCCAAACCCATCCTCAAAGACCCTCACGATGTGATTGTCCATGTGGCACAGACAGGTATTTGTGGAAGTGATGTATGACTTTTTTCCCTCCTTTATTCTCACAATTAGTGGTCTATAATGTTCCAGGTTAACGTACCGCCCAGGTTCACTAGTATGGATCCTCTCATGTACCCTATCATGGACAGAGTCTTTGACATAAGTTCAGCTGGCAACGCGGTCGCATCGGCGATTTCATCCTCACTGGACCCATGGTCCTCGGCCACGAATCCTCCGGCGTAGTTGTCGAAGTCGGTTACAAAGTCCGACACCTCAAGCCGGGCGATCGCGTCGCCATGGAACCCGGCGTACCCTGTCGTCGTTGCGACTACTGCCGCAGTGGGTCGTATAACCTCTGCGGCGACACCATCTTCGCGGCGACCCCGCCTTGGGATGGCACACTGGCCAAATACTACGTCAACGCCGCCGACTATTGCTACAAGGTGCCAGACCACATGACTCTCGAGGAAGCAGCCATGGTCGAGCCTGTATCGGTCGCCGTGGCCATCACCAAGACAGCTAACCTGCAAGCCCATCAAACCGTCTTGGTTCTGGGCTGTGGTCCGATCGGCGTACTCTGCCAGGCCGTGGCCAAGGCCGCTGGAGCAAAGACCGTCATCGGAGTGGATGTGGTTCCATCCCGACTGGAAGTCGCCAAGTCGTACGGCGTCGATCACACGTTCATGCCCTCGCGGGCCGAGCCAGGCACAGACCCCATGGTGCACGCGGTGCGGGTGGCCACACAGCTGAAGGAGGAGCTGGGACTGGGAGAAGGCGCCGACGTGGTGCTGGAGTGCTCTGGTGCTGAGCCGTGTGTCCAGTTGGGTATCTATGCCGCCCGCCGGGGAGCTACATTCGTGCAGGCCGGTATGGGCAAGGAGAACATCACGTTCCCCATTACGGCGGTATGCACGCGTGGGTTGACCATCAAGGGATCGATCCGTTATCTGACCGGATGCTACCCTGCGGCTATTGATCTGATCGCCAAGGGCAAGATTGATGTGAAGCGGTTGATAACGAACCGGTTCCCGTTCGAGAAGGCCGAGGAGGCATTTGAGTTGGTTAAGGCGGGACGCTCGGATGTGTTTAAGGTCATGATTGCGGGTGTGCAGGAGTAATTTGTAAATACACATAGCGTACGTCGGGTTTGTTTGTTGGCAGTCAATGTGGTTTAGTGTGGAAGGGGATTCCTATACTACCACGGGACAAATTTGGGAGGATTCTGGCCGTTGAGATGCGCACGACTTCTAGGAATGAGAAAGATTACCAGAAACTGAAAATATTTTCTCTAGAACAGGCTAGTATGTAAGCCGGTATATATGGAATGTGTAATGTACACAGGCTGTCAAGTTGCACTATGTTACTGTGTATAATCTTACATAGTGGGAGGTTCACACCAGAGAGGTCAATCACAAAAGGAGCAGGTAAGCACTCAAAGCACACCCCTCAAGAGAACGGACATCCATCGCTCCCGGCACTGCCAGCAACACTCATGGTAGTGGTGGCCGTTACGAAGCTGACATCCTGAGTGCTGGCCTGAGACGCCGTTTCCGTTTCATACAACGCTGCCGTCGGCGTGGGAACCTTGTTCAAGGTCACAGGGTGGGAATAGTCTGAGCACCAACCAATAGTCTTAGGCACGATTCCTGGCTTGACAGATCTGGAGGAGGCAGGAGCAGGAGTGGATGAAGGAGCCGGGAGATGGGAGGAGTGGTGATGAAGCAGATGATGATCATGGTGATGACTGTGGTGGAACAAAGCAGAGCTGGACGCGGTAGGGCTCACCGTGACATAAACGGTAGATGCTGCAGGGCAGGTGGACGTAGCAGACGCTCCTGGTGCGGCGACGCTAGTGTCAACGCAGTCGGTCGCGTTGGCCGCGTCGGAGACGAAGAATTTCTCGGACTGCGCGTAGATGATATAGACGTTGGTGCCGTTGATCCCGCTGATCTGGTAGCCCCACTCGGGATCGGTGTCGCAGGGGATTTGCACGGGGTATGACAGGTCGGAGGTCGGAATGTCAATCGCCAGGGGAACATAGGAGGGTGGCCAGTAGACGAAATTCCAGAGATAGAGGCTGAAGGTGGTGGGATCAGTGTCAACCGTGGTCCAGTTGACGGTGATGGTGGAACCGGCGGCGTAGGTTGAGTTGAGGGCCGGCTCGGTGATGCTGATGGCCGCAGCTAGGGAGCTGAGGGTGATGAAGGGAATGACAAACCGCATAGTCACAGAGTAGAATTTGGCTCAATTGAAGGAGAGAATGAGAACAAGCACTGAAGATTAAATGAATGAATGAATGCTATAGGCGACCAAACGAGTGACTAAAGGGGTCAGAAGGGCGCGATGCAAGGGGAAAAACCGTTGACCCCCATGGCAGGATACTGGGCAGATGCGAAGATATAAGCACTCTCCGCTTGTGCTTTTCTCCGGAAATTGGAGGCTGTACTCGTGTCACTTTCAAGATTATGCTAAATTTAAAATCAAGCCACGCGTTCCCAACTATCGAACCACTAAGGAAGGATGCCATCGGCCATTGGCTCTGTTTGAGACATCCGAGTGGAGCGGCGTGCTCGGGCCCGCCGACTGGAAAATCAAACCGTTCCAAACAGGCATCCATCTACACTATTACTTGCTCGGCTTCATTTTAGAAGTTAGACAGAACCCTATCTGGAATTGTTCGCATGTGATCCAAGAAAATCATGTTCTTCCGATCGCTCATTTTATATTGGTGGCGCTTCCTTTTACAATCTCAGCCTCTTGCTATATTCAATTCAATGTATATTTATATGTCGTTATCACTACTAATGATATGACCGGTTGGGAAATATATAGTACTCTACCGATAATGCAAATTAATACCATCTATCGGGAAGGTGCTGGTATTTGTGTCTTAGACAAGTCCCTTCTTTCTCCTTGGCTGTTATCAAGGTAGTCGTAGCATGCGATGATTTTAATCACCGTTCTCCGACGCACCTCCGTGAACTGGGAGCAGGTTGTCTAACCGGCAATAGCCTCACCCTCCCTTCCAAATGACGGCCAATCATTGTAATTCTCATTGGGATCCTGGAATGGTCCATAGTTCACTTTACCACCGCGAGTGTTCGAGGCAAGAGGAGCACCTTTTATAATCCGGCTTATGAGGTCCTGTATTGCTCCATGTCAGCTAGTGCCAAAGCTCACGAAAGCTTTTGTCAAACCCACCGGATTGTAGATAAATGGCCGTGCAAATGTCACGAGGTCAATCTTCTCTCTTTGAATTAAATTTCTTGCCTCCTCTAACGTGTACTCGTGGTTCACCATGAGCATAGTGCGACTTCCAGGATACTTGATGAGAGCGCCAAAGTCCGTCAGAGGCTCGCACTTTGGAGGCAATTCTTTCCCATGGGGCCTGGGTTGGGACCTGAAATAGTCATCGGTTTCGCGCCCCACATCACAACCTCGACGCGATAAGTTGATAAAAGCGAGGCTACGACACATTAGCTCCTTGATGAAGTATGTGTAAGTCTCTTTCATTTCTTCATATGAGATCATGGTGTCATTATAGTCATCTGTAGGGCAGATCTTGATCCCAACTGCTCGAGATCCCCAGACCTCGATGATGGCGTCGAGGACTTCTAGCGGGAAACGGCAGCGATTCTCGACAGAACCACCGTATTTGTCTCTGCGTGTATTCGAGTGCCTAGATACCAGATAAGCTCGTGAAGCATGCATTATGTGGAGGGATATCGCTTACGAGCACAGGAAGTTGTGTAGAAGATACCCGCTAGGCAGCCGCAGTGTCAGTTTCGATGGCCGTATCCACGAAGGGTCGCCTTTCTTGCGTACTTACCCTTGTGCTAGTAGCTCAATTCCATCAAATTCAGCAGACTTGGCCAAGCTGACAGAGTGTCGATATTGTTCAATAATGACCCTCGGGTCATCGATTTCGGTGATGTTGGGGGTATGGCCTGGAAGTCCCTCCAATGTACGATATTTTCCGCCCTTGGCAGGTACCTTGGATGGTGCATAGACTGGATATCCTGATTCTTTCAACATCGGCATATTATCATTCTGGATGCGTCCTATATGTCATATATACTCTACAGTCAGGAACCTCACTCTCATACCAGGACAACGAAAACATGAATTGGCAGGACTCACCTGGATGCCATGGCTGGAAGAGAATCTTTCCCTCAACCTTGTGCACCTCGCTTGTTACCTTGGCCCAAGCATCTGCGTGGACTTGGTTGTACATCACAGGCGCATGGGGCCATTCGGCACCATTCAAGCTGATAAAGGTGCCCTCTGCGACGATAAGCCCGGCGCCGTCCCGCGCTCGGTCGGTGTAATGTTTGATGTTCGCCTGGGTCGGCTTATTTCCATCGGTGCATCGATTTCGCGTCATGGACCCCATGCAAATACGATTGCGCAACTGAATCCCATCCCCGAGGATGACTGGCTGGAGAAGCTCCACCATTGTAATGCTCTCGATGATTAGCGAATGACTGCAGGACAGGGCAGCTTGGTGGGAAGAGTAACCTTGAAAAGACGCCAGATGCACATGCTAATTTATATCCGCATTCTGTCCAGAATGAGGTCACGCCACTCTATTTATTAGGTAAAACCTGCTTGCTTGGAAGGCGATGATCGCGGAAAATAAATTCAGTCCGCAGCTTGCAGCCTCTCTCTCGCGTATAAATCATCATGGCTATCAGCCGAGACCACATAGGAGGTACGTGATATCATTTTTGTCATTGTCCTGTACCAACCTTATTGCCACTCTCCATATACTTTACCTCAACGTAATTAAGGTAGACATTGCACTGTGAAACACGAGAATATCTAGATGATGATGGTTGGTTGATTGACTAATCCTCGGATGACTTTCCCGAGCGGGTAACTGGTTATCTATAGCCTGAGGCTGCTATCGCGGCCTCCTTTGCCGAATCACCGAACCAGAGATTCCCCCAGCTTTGGCCATCCTCGTCATTGGCATGGTCCTCGTTGTTACTCAAAAAACATCGTCCGACCAAATAAATGACTTCTGCGGTACGATCTTGAAATGACACCTCTTCTTACAAGCATGTCCCCTACGCCCCTCTGCCATGGAGTCGCCCACGTGAAAGGAACGGCTTCTGGAAGGCTGATTGCCAGCCACGTGGAGTTGAGTTTCTGGGGTGGCGTCGACCCCCAAACAGGCCGGGTGATTGACCAACACCACCCCTTGAATGGTCACTCTTTGGAAGGTCGCATCCTTGCCATTCCAGGTGGTCGTGGGTCCTGCTCGGGCAGTGGGGTGATGCTTGAACTCCTACTTAACAACCATGGACCTAAGGCAATACTCTTTGAGCGCCGCGAGGATATCCTCACCTTGGGGGTAATGGTCGCGGATGAGATGTTCGGCAGGGCAATTCCAGTGATAAAACTGGATGCAGACGACTTTCAACGGGTGCTGGAACTGCATGACACTTACATCACGGTCGGTGATGGTTACATCTTCGACAAGGAGTTACCCGGGACATTGCATGAACGGCTTGACTGCCACTCCAAAACACCAACACCATTGGTGCTGACCACAAATGTGCAACTGTCCGATGTGGATAGAGCGTTGATTCAGGGAGAATATGGAGAAGCTGCTCGCGTGGCCATGCGGATTGTTCTGCGAATGTCCGAGTTATTAGAGGCTCGCGAACTGATCCCGGTCACCCAGGTTCATGTCGATGGCTGTATCTATACCGGACCTGGATCGCTAATGTTTGCAGAGAGGCTGCGCGATCTGGGAGGTCAGGTCCTTGTTCCGACCACCCTGAACTCTATCTCTGTCGACCAAAAGCGATGGCGCGCCCAAGGCGTAAATATGGCGTTTGGGGAAGCGGCCGACCGGTTGGCCAAAGCGTATATTGACATGGGTGCCCGGCCAACTTTTACATGCAGCCCCTACCAGCTGGACAGCGCCCCTAAACTCGGAGATCAAATTGCTTGGGCAGAATCGAATGCCGTGGTATATGCCAACAGTGTGCTTGGGGCGCGTACTATGAAATATCCCGACTTTCTCGATATCGCCATTGCTCTCACTGGCCGCGCCCCTAAAGGAGGACCGCATATTGATACGAACCGCCAAGCTACACTGATTGTTCGGTTACTAGACACCGCGAACTTGCATGTCGATGACTCCTTCTATCCTGTCCTCGGGTATCACGTAGGGACCCTGGCAACCAATCAGATCCCGGTGATCGTGGGCCTTGAATCCTTGGCCCCGAATCGGGATGACCTCAAGGCGTTTGGGGCCGCATTTGCGACGGTGTCAAGTGCCCCGATGTTCCACATGGTTGGTATTACACCAGAGGCAAAGACCATAGAAGCCACCATCCGACCTGGAACCCACCCACCTTGTCTTGCTGTGAAGATGGAGGACCTGATACCCTGTTGGGACACACTGAACACTGCATCACACGCCCAAGCCGTGGATCTTATTTCTCTTGGTAACCCACACTTCTCACTGAGAGAAATTCGACGATTGGCTACTCTATGCCAGGGGCGTACGAAATGCGAAGGGGTGGCGGTGATGGTAACCTGTAGTCGTGCGACATACGGCTTGGCTGATCAAGCCGGGCTTATTCAGGAGCTGGAGAGGTTTGGTGTGCGATTTACCACTGATACCTGCTGGTGCATGATTGCAGAACCCATTATTCCACGGTCGCTCAATGCAATCATGACAAACTCTGGGAAATACGCCCATTATGGCCCTGGACTCACGGGGCGGAAGTTCTACCTGGGCAGCTTAGCTCGGTGCGTTGAGACTGCCTGCCAGGGGCGTCCAGTTGACCATTACCCGTCCTGGATGGTGAAGAATATTTGATTTCGTAAGATCTTGCTGGCATGCTGACCATGCACCACGCCCCTCTCAACAACATCTGAACCCTAGCTTCGTCTGTGATGCCTGAGGCATCAATCATTCGGTCGGCGACAGCCACCTGACCCACTCGGGTGAAGGTACCCGGAGTGGGTGCAATGGAATTCTTCCAGTTTCTGGTGGTGCAGTAAGAAAAAGCCAAAAGTCTCTCGAAGAAGGGATTTCCTCAGAAAATGCCATGGCTCCGACCGGAGCGGATCCTGTTGCCGGAAAGGGTCCCCGACCTTTTGGCTGATAAGAAAGGCGACCGGCTGGAGGGACATCCATCACCCGTTCCAACCCCGCCTGGTGATTTCTTCAGAGTATAAATTAGTACTGAATTCCACCAACTCTCTGTCCAAAGTCACATTATTCGTCTTTCACCATCAACATTCAAGTTTTCAAACATGTCGCAACTCTCCAACTACCGTCTCCTCAGCTTCGATGTCTATGGCACTCTAGTCGACTGGGAAGGTGGCATCCTGGCCGCCTTCCAACCCAGTCTCGACAAAGCCAACGCCCACTTCACCCGCGAACACCTCCTCACTGTCTACCATGACTTGGAGCGCGCGCAACAAGCACAGACCCCCGACATGCCGTACTCGCAACTCCTCGCCACCATCCATCCTCAGTGGACCGAGCGCCTCGGGCTGCCTCAACCGTCAGAAGAGGAAAGCCGCCAGTTTGGAGAATCCATCGGCAACTGGCCCGCCTTCCCGGACACCGTCGACGCGTTAAAGCGACTGGCCCAGAGGTACAAGCTGGTGGTGCTGTCCAACGTCGATCGCGCTTCCTTTGCCAAAACCAATGCTGGCAGCTTGCAGGGATTTCCCTTTGATCTCATCATCACTGCACAAGATGTGGGCTCTTACAAGCCGGATCTCCGAAACTTTGAATATCTGCTCAAGGCAGTCAAGGAGCAGTTCGACATTGAGCCGGCGCAGGTACTGCAGACGGCGCAAAGCCAGTTCCATGACCACCACCCGGCACGCAAGATGGGGTTGAAGTCCGCGTGGATTGAGCGGCCAGGGGCAACAATGGGGAATCTGTCGGAGACCGTCTATGACTGGCGGTTTGATACCTTGGGGGAGATGGCTGATGCGGTTGAGAAGGGACTGTAGACTAGCGCGTTCGCCATGTTCGATGTTCAAGGATCTTTCATGAACTATATAATAGAACGAAATAGGATTTTCCAATGAGCGTCATGTCCACAGACTCTGAGCAAGACAGCATGCACAAAGCGTGTTTTGTACCAGCAAAGCCTGATAACCGGCTAAGCGGCGCCTGTGAACCGGGCCGCATCCCCACCCCACGACAGTCTCGGGATGCCAGCCGAAGCCAATCATTACTTATTGCCCATGTATCCCTCCAGTTGCAGTGGTCCTATTCCTCACAAGTTGGCCTTACACTCCACTATGGATTTAGCCCACACTCTAGAGTCCGCCCCTAGCGGCGAAGTCATCAAATGCATTGACATGCACACAACCGGAGAGCCCACCCGTATCGTCTACGCGGGGTTTCCTCCCCTCAGCGGGACACTGCTCTCCCAGCGCGACCAAGCCCGGGATCAATATGACCACCTCCGCAAGCGAATTATGCTCGAGCCTCGTGGCCACTACGACATGTACGGTGCCATTCTCCGACCAACCACTGAACTGGTCGAATCCGGTGAAGCTCACATCGGTGTTCTCTTCACCCACAACGGTGGCTTCTCCACCATGTGTGGCCACGCAACCATCGCACTGGGCCGATTTCTTGTCGATACGCATGATGTGGCTGTTTTTTCGAAGCGAAATGAGTTGGTAGTAGACGCTGCGTCGCAAACAGTTGTCGTTAACTTGCATGCGCCGTGCGGATTGGTTCGTATCACCGTCCCTATCAAGGACACGGCCGATGGGATCAAGTCCGATCCGTCGCGGGCGGTCTCGTTCCTGTCCACACCAGGTTATGCTGCTGCGACCAATCTTACTATTTCCATTCCACCTGAGATTCGATGGACCGAGCTTGAAGGGCGTGAGAGCATCACCCTTGATGTCAGCTATGGAGGGGCATTCTACGCGTTGATTAAAATGCACGAGCTGGGATTCGCATCCACGGGACTGAGAAAGGTCGATCTTGATTCACTATCACAGGTGATGAAAAGACTAAAAGCGCACTTTGAAACCCATCCTGATATTCTGGCTGCCTGCCAGCATCCAGAAGACGGGAGACTATCGTACCTATACTCCATCATGCTGGTGGACACGAATGTCGGATACAAGCCAGACAGTGAAAGTGGAGCCGAGACCGGACTGTGCTTCTTCGCTGATAACCAGATCGATCGGTCGCCGACAGGTTCATGTGTCACGGCTCGCATGGCGCTAGCGCATGCCAAGGGAGAGAGATCGGTTGGTCAGCGGTGGGCTTACAATTCGATTGTCTCCAATCGCTTTCAGACGGGTGCGTTTGAGGCTGAGATTGTACAGACGGGATTGCGGGTGGAGGGTGGAAATGCTCCGGCCAAGGATGCGGTGGTGGTGCGCGTGGAGGGGAGGGCATACTACACGGGCACGTCAAATTTTATGCTTGAAGAGGGAGATGTTACGAGTCATAGTGGGTTTGTGATGAGTGATATGGCAGTGTAGCTTTTGAAGCGAGAATGAAGGGGATGTGACCTAAATATGAACCAGTATGAGCTCGATGTCAGCTGAATATCACCTATACACATAGATGTCAGGTTACCTGGAGATTGGCATTCAATAACAGTCAGAAATCAGTGTAAACATTGAGTGAACCTCTGGGACAATCACCCTTTCATCGACAGCTTAGAGCGAAGGACCCTGGCGGCATTGCTCTGTCTTGTGGACGGGACCAGGATCAGCAAACCCTTGACCGTCAGGGCGTATCAAGACTGTTTCTCATCTGCCATTCATGAACGTGTCATGTAGCTCGGGTCGAATTGGTAAACACCTCGTCGTATTAGACCACCTGCCTAAATAGCAGGAGGGGGATTTTACAGTGAGCACAGTTGCAAATCAAGTGATTTAAATTAGAAAATTGCCAATGTAAAGCCTTGTCAGTGCGGCTGAGCTGCGCCCCCACGGCTACCTCACACCCTACCCTACCCCACCGCAACAAAAAGCAGTCGCTTTCCCTTTATCTTACCCCAGGTCTCGTCGTCCATACCATTTTCCTTTCGAGAAGTCCGCCATCCATCACAGTACGCTATATCCGTAATATTAGATGTACGCCAGTGACTCAGTGACTGGAGGGACAAGTGCATGAACCCTAAATATGTTTTTCTATATCAAAACGCGTAAGCAATTATTGTCGTAGATAACTATTGCCAGCTCGAGGTATGAGCGTCGATTTATGGTTGAGAAAGAAGAGAGGATGAGCTGTAACCCGTTGTCAGGAGCACAACAGACTGGTGCTGACCCGCCGTCTTGGAGAGCCAATCAAAGCCCTGTATGGCCGGCCAGTTTAGAGGCAGATTGATTAGTAATCTGGCTGGATACCAGCTAGACTACTTCGATCGGGGCTTGAAACGAGCTACGGAAAAACATTGCCTTTGACTTGCTCAACGACCGATGCAAGTGCCATTTCCGCGAAGGCGCTGACGGGAAAACCCACGTTCGCGGGGAGACGGAAACCCTCGCCGACGGGAAAGTCCGCGTGCGGCCTCATCGTGACCAAGCCATGCTTCACTTTTGAGGAGTTCCATGCCCAGTTGCTGGCAGGCATCCAGAGCAGGGCGACGGGCACATCGACGATTCATGATCAGAGCTCGCGTACCCACGCTGTGTTTGAAGTTGAGATTGTCACGAGAGAACTATTGGATGCACGGGATGCCATCGTTGAGCGCCAATCCGAGCTGGTACCGGTCGGGAAACGCGCAACTGATATCTACATCGAGGAGAATATGAAGGCCATCATCCAGACACCGGATGGCAAGTATGTTCCGAATCCGGATTATCAACTGAACCAGACTGCGATAGATGAGGCCGAGGCAAAGAAGGCCGAATACGAATTGCGGGTCCAGAAGGCGGAAGAGCATGTTTTAGAGGTGAAAAAGTCATGTCCCCATGCCTGTCTAGGTGGAAAGATGGTGTTTGTGGATCTGGCCCCGGCTCAGAGTACTGTCATGACAAGGGTTCCGTGTCCACCATGCGGACAAAACAGACGCCTCAGGAGCAGCAGGAGAGCAGACAGATCAACACTGATCTTCTTGCCTTGAAAGATGTCATTCGGGCTATGGCCCGGAAGCAGGCCCGGATTCCTTTCCGGTCATCGCCGCTGACGATGGTTCTGCGCGAACACTTTGTCACGGGCGGCGATGATGGAGTTTCGGCGATGATTCTCACCACCTCGCCTTCGTCGGAGCAGTACAATGCAACGATTGATACGCTCAAATATGGGAATTTGATTGGCATGGCTGGACTTCGTTAAGACTCTAAGCAGAAAGGCAGTTGCACCCATGTTTTCGATAGCTTACATGAAATACATACGTAGATCTGTATATATGAGTTTAATCCCTCGTATGGTGCACTGCATTTCCACAGTTTGGAACAGGGCTGGAAATACACACGCTTCCGGATCTATGTAAAGCGGCTACCCAAAGCCCAATGGCCTACCTTCTCCCACGCCTCATTTGTATGTATTCGCTAACACCTTTTTGTTCTGTACCGCTGGCACAGCACTTTGAGGACTTCAGCCAACCACTCAAAGTCCTTCCGCTCGAGATAAACCTGGGCAGAAAGTCTCACCCACAACCAGCCCCCGTGCTCAACTAGGGGAACAAACGTCCCATACTCCTCCACTAGTGTGGTTTGGAACCACCTGACTGCTGCGACAGCCTCATCAGCTTTCAAAAGCGTAGCAGAAGAGTCAGAAGCTGCCAAATCCTCCCTGAAAGTGAACGGTAAGCGGATAGTTGTCATAGCGCATCGCCTGAGGTTGTTCTGCTTCCCCGGCTGTAGAACCCTTTCCTCCATAACATCTGTTCCCAGCGTCGCAGCAACGACATCGGCAGCCTCATTTGCCAATCTTTCCAGGTATTCGTAAATACGGGCTTCGCCACCACAGATCGTCTTGCGGAATTCCAACGCAGCAGGAACACAGAAGTAGGGCGTATCATCATTGGTAGCGACGAATTCGAAAAGACTCTCAAATGCACTCTTTGAAGCATCGTCACTCATCATGACGGAAGGGGCCGTCGCAGGAGAGTCTTCGGACGGGATGAAGCCCCAGGAGGTGGGAATGGTGGTTCGAATCAGATGTTGGTTGCGTTTTGGGACATAAAGCACGCAGCAACTCCGGGGGACGAATAGCCATCTATCGAGAGTTCACAGATAAGCCCAGTCAAAAGAAGTATTGGAAATGAAATTGAGCAGATACTTACTTATGACAATTACTCGCGAAGAAGTCCGGCTGCAGTTTCCCAAGATCCAACGGCAGCTGTCCAATACCGTGTGCACCATCAATCAGACTCAAAATGCCCTCTTCTCGACAAACCTCGGTGAGCCTTTCAAAAGGGAACCGCACAGCTGGCAGGCTAGTCACCACATCAAATAGAGCAAGCTTCACATTCAATCCCGCGCTCCGCGCTTCCCGAACAACCTGGAGAAAGCGCTCCACCAGGTCCTCGTGACTGATCGGCATTTCATATCGGACTTTACGAATCTGAGCGGCCCTAGATTCAATAAACGATACCATACCCTTTTCGAGAGCGCCGTAGATGGTTTCAAAGTAGATAATGACATCATCTGACTTGAAAGGCAGGTTGTGGAGGACGGTGTTCACACCTGTAGTGGCATTCTTGACGAAGACACACTCGCTCCGGGGAACATTCAACAGCTTGGCGACCGCCTCCCGAGAGACATCTAGTTCTTTAGGGGTGGTGTAGCGGATGAATGGATCTGGACGCGCCTCAACTTGATCCTGGAAATGGCGCAAGGCGGTGCGAACTGCGGCAGGATACGTTCCAAATGAGCCTGGAGTTTATCGGCGTGATTGTGTTAATGTTTGATACTACAACGCTCGGTAAGCTCTATAGTGGGCTTTCTTACCGTGGTTCAGATTTAGGAACTTAGGGTCGAAGAGAAATCGCTCACGCATCGCAGCCCCAAAGGGAACGATAGATGCATCAGGAGAAGCCATTTTCGCGTTGTGTGGATTGGTTGATAGTGATTAACTAGGTACTATTTAGATGATTCCTTGCGATGACTCAAGTTGCG